TTCCTCCTCCCCACCCGTGCCTGCCCCCGAATCCCAAGAAGACCACTTCCAGCCCAGCACCGCAGCGCCCGTCCAGCAGCACTACTGCATCAGCACAGCCTTGGAGCGGCCGGCCGAGGGCGCAGCCTTTGACCCGCCACTGTTCATCAGTCTCACAGTGGTGTGGCGCCATGGCCATGGCGGCCGCCGAGGGCTTCGACCATGCGGCGCCGTCAGGGGTCCCGCTCCCGGCCACCCGGCAGGAGGTCCAGGCCGCCGTCGCCAAGGCCGTCGAGCTGCGCGCGCTCCACGCCGCCCTCCGCCAGCGCGCCGCCGCGCCCAATGCCGGTGCCCGCTCCAGCGCCAGCCGCAGCCCGGCCACCATCCGCCTCCCGCCGGTGGTCGCGTCCCCCGCGCGCTCCCGGACAGCGGCCACCGCCGCCGCAGACGAGGACTACCCCGTGTTTACTCCGGTGAGCGCCGCAAGCCTGCTTGTACCACATGTCACCGTGATGGTCTGTGCCTTCTTGGCTTCTCTTCCCGGTTTAAGCGGCGTTGGTGGCATGGTACCATGGTAGAGGCGGCTCATTTACTTCTTGAGTCGCCCCACTGTTCTTGCCGTGCGGGCTCCTGCAGCCGCCGCGCGCGTTTATTGCTCGACGCAGCGGCGGTGGCCGGGCACTGGGTGGGCAGAGTGTACGCTAGCAACAGTTGGTGCAGTAATGTTAAATTCAGAGTCTCTCATGGTTGCCATCGGTGCCCACCAGGCTATGATCGCCGGTGATGTGATGCTTGCCAACTTGGTAGGATCCACGGTGCCTGCTCTGCTCACCGAATCTGTAAATCATCGTTCGCATCATTGCGGACGGACCTGTACGATTCTAATCCACCCTATGAGAAGGATTGCATTTCTGACTTGCTTGCTCAACTGAACATGGTGCAGACTTACGACGAGGAGCCCATGGCGATGGCCGCTGGACTCAACGACATCTGCCATGACAACCGGAGCCGGTCAGAGAACTGGGGCGGCATCACCTTGGACCGCGGCGACGAGGCCGCCTACTCCGACTACGACGACTGCATCAACGGCTTCTCCTCCTGCAACAGCGACTTCCACTACGCCCCTTCGTCCAGCGAGAATCACCTCCGGAGCAGAGGCGTGAACCGGATCCATCCGGCCTTTCTGCAGTCCGCGCCGCTGGCCGGCCGTTTCCCGGCCTCGGCCGGGAGGGCGACCTGCGCGGGAGAGTTCAAGATGCCGCCGTCGTGCGGCGGCGCGTTCCGGCCCGCGACGATTGGCAGGGACCACGGTCTGAACGACGCGGAAGCTCTGGGGTTCCTCGGCAGCAGCAGCCGAGTGCCATTTTCATCCAGCCACCAGCCCCCGCCGTCGGCGCACTCCCGGGCGAAGCAAAGAGGGTCGCAGATCCTTTCTTGGCTCTTCGCCAAGGGAAAGAAGAAGCCGAAGCTGGAGACGCCGCCGCCGACCACCGCCGTCATCGAGCGCGGGAACATGTCGCAGCTCCTCAAGGAGTGGGGGCTGCTGTCGCTGGACTCCCTTAGGAAGGAGCTCGCGGAGGCCAACGCGCACCGGGACGCCGCGCAGGAGGACGCCGCCGAGATGAGGTCGTCGCTGGGGGAGCTGACCACCAAGATGATGAGCCTGGAAGCCTATTGCTTGGAGCTCAAGAAGGCCCTGCGGCAAGCGACGGACCACAGCGGCGGCGCCGACACGCAGTCCCACTCGCGGCGGTCGTCGTCGAGGTCGATCGGGGCGAGCCGAGAGCTGCCGGGCAACGGCATGCCGGTGAGCCACGAGGCCATGGTGGAAGGCTTCCTGCAGATCGCCTCCGAGGCGCGCCTCTCCGTGAAGCAGCTCTGCAAGGCGCTGATCCAGCAGGTGGAGGAGCCGGACAACGGGCTGTCGGACAAGCTGAACCTGCTGCTCCGGCCGCACCAGCTCGCCATCATCGCCGGCCGGCACTGCTCCAAGGCGGTGCTGTACCACCTGGAGGCGGTCATGAACCAGACGCTGTACCAGGACTTCGAGAACCCGAGCTTCCAGCGGAACGGCGCGGCGAGGCACCTGGACCCGGGGCAGGGCCGGCGGGAGAGCTTCGCGTCCTTCGTGGCGCTGCGCAACCTGAGCTGGAGCGAGGTGCTGCGGAAGGGCACCAGGTACTACAGCGAGGACCTCAGCCGGTTCTGCGACCAGAAGATGAGCTGCGTGGTGGCCGCGCTCAGCTGGTCGTGGCCGTGGCCGGAGCAGCTGCTGCAGTGCTTCTTCGTCGCCACCAAGTGCGTCTGGCTGCTCCACCTGCTCGCCTTCTCCTTCGCGCCGCCGCTGCCCATCCTGCGGGTCGACGAGGGCCGGGCGTTCGACCAGGCGTACATGGAGGACATCCTGCCGGACCGGCGGCAGGCCCAGGACCCGTTGAGGGTGAAGGTCATGGTGATGCCGGGGTTCTATGTCCAAGATCGAGTGCTCAAGTGCAAGGTCCTCACAACAAAACAGCAAGACCAGTAGGATAACTGTCTGTCATGTTCATTATGTGTAACTTTGTTTAACATGTTCATTGTATGGCTAGCTAGTGTGGTGTGAGGGTAACTTAAATGTCAGAATGCTGATCCATCATGTGTTTGTCAGTAAATTCAGAGTAGGCAATTGAGCACCCGAGCACAAGGAAATGAGTAATATATGTTCCTCCGTTGTTTATGCCATGCTGAACAAAAACTATGTATGTATCACAACATGATGTTCAGATGCTATGAAACTCAGCAATCTCCCCTGATTACTTCAGAAACCTACAATGGTTCCGAAATCTGAACACTACTTCTCTAGGACAAACTAAGCAGCGCTGCCTAGAGAACTGGAGAATCAGGAAAGCTGAGAGAGATCCCCATCGTGTTTGTATCCACTTGATGCTTCATTTTGAGTCAATAAAATCCACCCTTTATCGAAAAAGGAAAGCTGAGATCACACCCAGTTGCTGACCGGAGAATCATCGAGCCGGAACGACGAATCCAACACAAAGTCTTGCTCAGCATCTACTCTATGTTCAGGGCTCTCGATGATGCTTAGGGGTACCTGAGGAGGCAGTGACAGCGGGAACGGCATTTTGGGAGAAAGAACGACGCTCTGCGCCGCGACACCGACGGGCTTCTCCCACATGAGCAGGTGTAGCTGGATGGGCTGCAGCGCGAGGCGGTGCAAGGAGAGCTTCTGGCTGAGGGAGATGGTGTCGAAGCAACGGACTGCGCCTGAACTGGAGATCATCCAGGGGAGGACCTTCTCGTTGGACACCCTTGATATGATCAGTAGTTTGGACGCCACTTTCGCCCGGTTGAATAGGTCGCGGAGCCCTGACCGCGTCGATGGCGCCTCGCTGTCCTCGTCGTCGTCGACCACCGATGATATGTAGATGAAACCCTGGATGAAAGAAAACAAAAGTTGCACGGTAGGTTAGATGGACATTTCTGAAAGCTGGAGTAGTGACTGGTTTTCTGTATTGTGTACAGTGGCAACTGAAAATGAACCTCTTCGGTGCGGCTCACGGCGAATCCTAGCCTGGTGTCACCTTCCTGAAGCTGTATCTCCAGCGGCATTTCTCCTGCCGTGGAGCTGTACCAAAGCCGGGCCGCCTTCACCACACCGATGTCCACCCCATGGTAATCCTCGAAACCGTAGAGCGTCGCGTTCACGAGGTTCGACATGTCGGACAACGACCCGGAGTTGACAGTGGCAGACGCCGTCTCCCCAGATATCTGAACATTTGAGTGTGTGAGGATGAAATCACTATCCGATCAAACTGAACCTTCACTAGCTATTGTCAGGTGCAAACCAACTGAATGTTGAAAGTTTGTTTTAGTAGTACGAAAATTCTGAAGTTAAGACGTACTCCCTCTGTTCCGAATTACTTGTCTTAGATTTGTCTAGATACGGAGGTATCTAGCACTAAAATAAGTCTAGATACATCTGTATGTAGACAAATCCAAGACAAGTAATTCGGAACGGAGGGAGTATGCACCTTGGTGAGAAGAGCTTCGCTCTGCAGATTCATGAACTCGATGGGGATCCCTGAGTCCTGCGACGAGTAGAGCCATGTGTTGGCACGGGCCAACGTGTCCTCGAAGGACTCGTACCGGCACGCGTTGAGGTCCAGGGCCTTGGGGAGGACGAGCATCGAGAGGAAGCAGCTGGAGTTGGGCGTGCGTAGCGAGTCGCGCATCTTCTTGTCCCAGGGGTACGTGACGTACCCGTCCTGGAGCTGCGCCCGGCTCAGCGCCGATGCCACTCTTGTACCTCTTGTGCCTTTTGTCAAGGGAGAAGACAAGTATTTTTACATATAAATAAAGGTCATCACAATAATACTCCTACATTTTTATACTCTGTGCAAAATGTCAATTACGAATGGAAGCATGAACCAAAAGGTATCCAGAAGCAATGCCAACGAATTCCCCAAAATAAGGGATGATTTCGCCGTAAAATGAATAGCTAGAAATTGCAAGAACAATTGGAGAATTAGTAAACAACAACGTATAAATAGACTTTTTGTTTGCGGAACTTCTAGATTGATGTTAAGCCATCCATGGTCAGACCAGGCAGGTAAGACAATCATGGAGCAGCACTTCACCAACAGCGAAGGACAGAAATTAACTTGCAATACTTGCCAGGAAGCCACAAACGATGGCTGTTCACAAGGACCACCACGTCGTCAAGAGTCGACCATGACGCATTCCCCCGGCGGCGACAAGAAAACGAGTGAAACGCACGAGGTAGGGACGTACTATGGGAGGAATTGACCACCACCTACACAGATGGCCAATTTCCTTGACACGTTTCAGCGATGCATTCCCGTTTTCCCAACTTTACTATCTTCTCAGTCCACTTTGCTGCCTTTGTTTTCTGTTTATGTAGCTATCATAACTTCTAGTTAGTGACAACTACATGCACATTGGTTTTATATCATAACATTGTGGAAGAATGGACGTGAATATGAAATGAAGAAATTTGCCTCGCAACAATGCTCTAGTCTGAACCTCAGACTTGACAGCAAGCTTGTCTTTTCGCAACTGGCGTGGAGTAGAACACATAGGCAATGCGTGCGTGCTGAAATGAAAGCCAGCCCACATCGAATCTATCTGGCTGATACTCCTCCATGTTTTCTAAAGATTTTTACTAGTGTTCATACTGAAATTGAAATGTCCCATATCATCACACGCAGACGTTTCAGGCACCGAGAATTGACAGCAAAATTATCCAGTTCATAATTCAGTAGCAGATATCACTGTCAAATCTCGCAATTTCAGTCCATGAAATTCAGGGGTGGCTCTTGGGGATCAGGAAGAGTCGGCTGTATGATTGATCGAGTTGAGTATGTACCTTGGAGGACGAGGCACTCGCTCTCGAGGCGATCGCCGAAGCCGAGCACGTAGTTGGGGTCGTGGAGGGAGCGGAGCACGTACTGCTTGCGGGCGCTGGCGCCGCCGGGGTGCGGCAGGATGCAGGCCTGCAGGTCCTTGCCGCCGCGGACGCGCACCTCCACGGAGGTGTCGCCGCGCTTGAACGCCTTGTGCAGGGCCTTGTGGAGCCCCGCGCGGCCGCCCTTGAAGGGCGCGTCCAGGGACGCCGCGCCGGAGCCCAGCCCGACCCGGACCGACTCCACCACGTCGCCCTCCTGCACCACGGCGCCGCCGCCGCCCCACTCCTCCGCCTTGGAGCTCCCCGCCACGCACTCCAGCACCACCACCGCCGCCGCCTCCCGCTTCCTCCGTCCCTCCTCCTGCTCCATGGCCCGCTGGTTCCCCAGAAGCGGTGACCACGCGCGCGCTGCCCGCTTTGGGCCGGCGCCGGCGGCCAAGTGGTGCGGGCGGCAGGGGAGCAGTCAGTCACGTGCCGCCCGTGTGGCGCGCGGGGGTCTTCCACAAGGAGAGGGGGACGGGCAGGGGCTCGGCTCGATCTCCTCCGGCTCGCGCTCGTATCCCTTCCCTTGGCCCAGGACGACGCCGGAGAGCGGCCGGCGCGCTCCTCACCAGTATTTTTTTTTCTCCCTCCCCGTGCGCGTGCGTGTGCCGAGCGGAGCCGGCAGTGTGTACGTCCGTACCGGCGCGGCGAGAGAGGGTTCCCTTTTAACGAGAGGGGGACACGGGTGGGGTGACGGGGTGAGGTCGCCGTCCCGGCGGCACGCGGTGGGCGAAGCCGACCAATCGCGTCGCATCGGGTGCGCGCCCCCTCCCTCGCGCTGCCGCGTCACTGCGGAGCGGGCCCCGGGCGGCAGGTGGCGCGTGGACCGGAGTGGCCGCCTCGTTGGGTTAGCGGTCGCCCGACGGGTTTGGGTTCTGGAGTCGTGTCAACCTCTCCTCTCTGGGAGTAAATTGCACAGAAGTACCACAATTGGGGCATTGGAAACAGATTGATACCAAGTTTGGTAATTTTTACATGTCAATACCAAGTCTGGGGCTATCCGTTACAAAAAGGTCTAAATCGCGTATAAACGCGTATTGACAGTGTATCTGACCAGCGGGGCCCACCTGTCGGGTGCCGACGTGGCATGTTTTTTTTGCAAAAAGCCCCCCTTTTCACCGGCGCTACTATTCATCGTCTCCACACGCGGCGGCGCCGATCTAAATCGAGGGGAGGAGCCCCTCGAGCCCGAGCTCCTCTGCCTCCTGTAACCTCCGCCCCGCCCCGGCGTCCCGCTCACCGTGCCTGCTTGCAGCCGACGCAGGGGAGGCAGCCGGACTTGGCGCAACTCCGGCGACAGGGGGCGACGAAGGGTGCAGGAACCGACGGATCTATATGGCGACTCGTGCGACGGAGGGCGGGAGGGATGGTGCTGGTCCTGTGTTCATTCGGCAGAGAGGGAGGAAACAGGGAGGTGGCGAGGGGACCTAGTCGCCAGCGATGGCTGCTCCGGCGAGGTGCATGGGGCGGGGTCGACAAGACCCCCGGGCGGAGAAGGCTGGGAGGAGGAGCCTGGGCACGAGGAGACGACGCCGCGCTGGTGAGCGAGCTGGAGAGCTCGGGAGGAGGCGCGAGGGATCCTCGTGGCTGCTGCTCGCCGGCGATGGCTGGGGGCGGGGTCGATGAGACCCTCGGGCGGAGGCGGCTGGGAGGAGGATCCCAGGCATGAGGAGGCGGCGGCGCGCTGGTGAGCTCGGGAGGAGGCGCGAGGGGACCTTGTGGCTGCTGCTGCTCGCCGACGACGGCTGGAGCGACTGGTCTCCTCCCCTGCTTCTGCTGGT